CACATGATGCATATGATAGAGCTTTTAATTCTGCATCGAATGATGTGATCCTTTTCTCTGGGCTATGAGTTTCGCAATGGAAAAAAAATTCGATTTTATATGGTCACTGCTATGTATAAGTTGCTAAGGGTACTTTGAAGTATCCAGTTCATAGCCGAGAGAAAAGAACAACACCATTCGATGCAAAATTAAAAGCTCTATCATATGCATCATGTTTTCTCTCTCGGCCATGAGTTTTTTATTAGAAAAAATATTCGGTAATGTATGGTCACTGTTGTGCGGAATTTCCTAAGGGTCATTTGAAGTGTCCAGTTCATAGCCGAGAGGGTGGGTGTGGGTGTGGGTGGGGTGTGAATTAAGGAAGCAAAACACTCTCATACCCACCCTAACCCACACCCGCACCCACACCCAATGAGTCACTCGGAATGAGCATGGATGATGGTTTGTATATGTTCTGAGAGATTTGGTTTGTTGAGAAAAGTTCCTTTTTGTAAATAAAAAATGAGGAAAAGGGAGCATTCTGTACGCTGTGACGAAGCAAGCAAGCAGTCTTAGGGAGTCGTGATTTGCTGTGATTGCGATATGATCTGAAAGGTGTGTACTAGTTTGAAAGTTTTGAATGTTCCGGAAAATAAAAATGAGGACTAGTGAATGTGTTCTTTCGACTTTTGTTGTGACTATTTGTAGGGAAGGAAAAAGTTATGCCTGTGCAGGATATTAGAAGTTAGATCTATTGCAAGTAGTGAGGATATGTGTTATTTGAGTAGTTCGCTTTGATGTGAATGCAATAACTATGGTTCACATGGTGATTTTGTAGGAAGCTGGTCTGTCAGAGTAGTATATGCGTGTTTCCTTTGGCGAAAGGGTATTGGAAAGAGCAGGCTCTCGATGGTGGAAGGCTTCACAGTTGGTTGAAGGTTTATGTTGCTGTCAAGACACGAAAAATGAGGGGCTAGCGACTTGAACGCTTAGTATCGTTGTAGAGTGTTGAAGTGATTAGGGTGTGGGTGTTGTATTTATTCCACCCACACCCACACCAAAGGACCAGTTGTTCTCATATATATTCGACAAGATTTCTTTGGAAGATATATGCCAGCGTTTTTGGAGTGAATATTTCATAGCATTGTCAGATACGGTTGATGGTAATTTAATCTTTGAGAAAGCTAATCTAAATGTATTTAGGGAGACTTGGTTGCGGAGAGAATGTCGTATTAAATGATTACATATCTCAAAACGTTATGCAGAACATCATTCATTCTTAGAGAGAATAATATACTGGTGTTCAGACCGGGTTCCTCACGAATCAACACCAAATTTCGAAATCGATGAGGTAATGACCCTTGCAGAGTTCCCAGAGTCCTTCTAATCCGCTCGTGCGCGATGTATAGTATTTAAACTAAAATGTAAAACAAAAATTGTCTTACATCATTCTATCTCCCTATTGACGTTATTGTTCAAATTTTACAATTGTTAAAATATTAAAACAAAATGTAATACTTGTTGTCAAGCGATTTAGTGAGAGATATTTTTTTTTGTCCTATGTATTGAACCCTCTACCTTTTTGTGTGCTTAATTCGCTTAATTCCCTTTCTTTTTTTTTGTGCGGAACTTTCTACTTTCTCTTTTTCTTTTTGTGTTTTGTATGTGCTATATTCACACTATGTACTGTTAGGATCCAAAGGTCGCCAGTTTTGTGCAAATAAAAACAAAAACAAGCTGTTTTTATGACCTGTTCGTTTTTTCTTGAAGAAAAGTAAAGCGTTTCGAGAAGCATTGGTGAAATATCGAATTTTCAATTATTGAAGGATTATATCACACGTTTCTTAATTCTCAACCAATGTAAAAGAAATATTACACAGCCACTATATATGAGGTCGAAAATCACTACTGTTCTATTTCGCTTTAACAATATCGATGGTTTTAACAGTATTTTGTCATTTTGTATTTGTTCTATTCAGGTAATTGTAAGATTCATTTTTTCTCATATTCATCTAACTTTGAATGTGTGTTCTACTTTGTAGTCTAACAGGTTTGATTCTCAGTTCGTTTTACATATATTACTATTAATTTAGTATATTCCTAGCTCAAGTAAACTCTCAATTCTGTCATGGAAGGACTCAATATGATCGATGTTCATCAAATAGTGGGTGTAGTTGTTTCTTTATAGTCGGTACTCATGAGATTGGTATTTGTACTGATGATTTCGTGCCTTGCTCTGAGCTGGTTGCATGTGAAGGTCCAAATAACATTTGCCGTCAATCTAACCATAGATGTGTCCATCATCCTCGATGTCATAATGCTCCTGTTTGTTATCCAATTCCAAGTTTCAATCAACAGCTATGTCCACTGTTATCAAGTAAGAGTACCATCAATGCTCAATAGATTTTAATGGAATTTTGAGTGTTTGTATGAATGGGATTTGATAAAAGTCTATTATCAATACTTTTCTTATTTACTTGTACATTGAAAAACATTTTTTCCTCATTGAGACAGATACTGAGATGCACGTCTTATACAACCTTTTCACAGATAATTCGTCCAGAGGAGAGTATTCTTGAAACGGAATGAAAATTATGAATGGAGCTTAACCAATCAGATCAAATACCTTCAAAATATTCTATACTAATTATGGAAGAGTTTTGCAACAAAAAACACTCAGATAGAAGAAGTCGAACGCGGCATTCTACTTAGCTTATTCTTAGTTCAATGTAATACGATTCGGCTAAATCCAGTCATGAAAAATATTACTTAGTTTTATTGGCACATATGTAGCAAACAGGTTTTCTATCAAAATCATTTTTGAAATATCTCTTAGATTTCATTGAAATCTTAAGTAACCGAACTCTATATTGTATTTTGTTTTAAAGCGACAATCGCTACAACAGCCGTGCCAACGGCAACTACTGCAACCACCACACAAGAACCAGGTAAACATCTAATTGACTTCCTATAGCTATGTTAAATTTTAATTTGTGACCAGGTGTAAAATTTTCTTTCGTGTGTAGTATTAAAACACAGCTTGCTTATTTTAATATTCCTCAGACCATCTGTCCCACATCACAAATAGTTGAAATTATATCATGAGTAAAAATTAATAATTGCTTCCATATTGATGATCGTTCGTCTTTATTGAAGTTTGATTCGTTTTGTTGACCTCAATAGAATGTTATGCATGCTTTATATGAACATCAGGAGAAAAGAAAACATTTGACTTCTCTAGCTGAATTTTGATAATACTATAAACGATATGGACGGACATAAAGTGAAAATAAAAAGCTTAATTATGAGAGAAATCGCGCATTAAAATTATACTAGTCTTATTGATGATTACTCATAGACAAAAGAGAGAGTACAGTTCCTTCGTGATTATGCAACAAAAAACAAGTATTGTCAAAAATCATATCGAATTCTCATAGAAAAGAAGAAGAATATGTCATCAATACCATTGTTCTATGCTATGTAGAATGGTCTTTCAATTCATACTGATAATTCATATTCTTTCTTTTGTATATTAGGGGCTCACAATATTCCTGTTAATGCTACTTGGTCACGAATCGGTGTAACTGTTGCTGGAGGTAATGGGTATGGTGGAGCGCTCAATCAATTCTACTATCTTCGTGGTTTTCTTGCTGATGATGATCAAACATTGATCGTTGCTGACTGGAACAACAATCGAATCGTCGAATGGCAGGTGGGTGCATCAGAAGGCAAAGTAATTGCTGGTGGCAACGGTCAAGGAAGTCGATTGGACCAAGTAGTTTTTGCAACTGATGTATTGCTCGATAGTACAACAAATAGTGTGATTATCTGTGAAGACCGAAACCGACGAGTTGTTCGATGGTCTCGTAATCCTGGTACAATGCAAGGAGAAATCCTTCTCAATGACATCTTTTGTGAAGGATTGGCAATGGATGAAGAAAGAAATCTCTACGTTACCGACATTTTGGAAAGTGAGGTGAGACGATATGCACTGGGAAGTAAAAATGGAACCTTAGTGGCTGGTGGACATCGTAGAGGTATTGGTAAAAATCAATTTAATAATCCGGCATCACTTTTTGTCGATCGGCAGCAAACAGTTTACGTGTCAGACAAAGAAAATCATCGAGTAATGAAGTGGGAGAAAGGTGCAACAGAAGGGGTTGTTGTCGCTGGTAATAATGGCGATGGAAATACTCTGAAACAACTATCATATGCTGGTGGACTCTTCGTTGATTCAATAGGCACTGTGTATGTAACAGACATAAGAAACCATCGAGTAATGCGTTGGCCAAAAGGAGCACAACAGGGAACTGTTATTGTCGGTGGAAATGGCGAAGGTGATGCAGCTGATCAATTGGCTCGTCCTGCAAGTATTTCGTTCGATAAACGTGGCAATCTTTTTGTTTTCGACAGTGGAAATCAACGTATACAACGTTTTTCTATTGAAGATACTAATTAAAGTCATTAATGAATCATTTGATCATCGAATAAAATAAATCGTTCTGAATAAAAATAAAATGATTATTCTGTTCATGCGTTAAAAATTAGATGCTACTCAGATAGAATTGTCATGACTTTCAGAAAATTTTGGTGACTGTTCACTTCCTTGCATATATAGGAGAGAATACATTGATTGAATCAAATATTTTAGTTAAGCACGTTATCTAATCAGTCACTGTAAATGTATATTCTGTTATGTATTATTTAGGTCCAAATGATGAAGAAATATTGTCTTCAAAGAAAAAAATAATTCATTTCTATAAAAAAGATCAGAGAATTTTTGTATGGAAGTACAAGTCTACTATAAAGCGACACTCAATGAAAATCATTTAAGAAGATAATTTGCTTGGTATTTAATTCATACAGAACAGTTGTTAGTAATTTAACCAATGATGTTCGTCTCAATACTATTGTTTCTAATCGTCGTAATGACTTTATAAATATAATTTTCACATTTTGTAAAATCTTATTGAGGAACTAATGGTGTCTTCTGTGAACTATAAATCATATTCTTTTAATGTTGGTAGTTGTATATTAGTGAAAGGTTAATAAATCATTGAAGTTAGGGTGTGGGATGGTGTGGGTGTGGGTATTAATATTCTTCTGACACACTCATACCCACCCTCAAAAAATTGCAAACAAAAATGAAATATCCAAGTTTTTTATTTCACCAAAAGTGAAAATCAAAAATCGGGCTCTATTACGACCTAGCCCTAATTGCCCTCTATTCAACAAAAAAACGATACTTTATCTATTGACTCGTTATTAAAAAATCCTTGAACGCGTAAAGGGTATACTCGAAAAATTTGATTTTGAGAAAAATGGAAAATATATATTAGAAATCGATTTTTCCGAAAATCAACTGATTTATATATCAGTGTTCAAGATAGGCTATAGATTTGTGATCTTAATATCAATTATTCAGTCTCTTAGTGATTAGTATAAGAAAAACTCTACGAACTGTTGATGCATAGAGAAAGCAGCCTCAAAAATTAACTATGAAAATTTCTCGAAAAATATGATAGTAGGAACGAAGTTTTAGACAACAAGTTCGTCAAAATCAATTCATTTTCCGATAAATCATAGATCTTCTGAAAGAGAAGACTTGAGGGTGTGAATTTAATTTTTAAGCGAATTAACAATGATGTAAATAAATAAAGTAAAGACCAAATAAATAAATAAACAAATAAATAAGTAAATGAATAGATGTATGAATAAATAGATAAATTTTGTTTTTTATTATTATTTCTTAATTTATTTTAGTTTTTTTGTATTTTTAGTTTTTGAAATTGTTTTCTAGTGTTTTTTTAATATATTTGTAGAAATATAAATGAAATATTCTAGTTTTGTATGAGTTGGAAAAAAATAAGAAAATAAGCACCCTTTTATGAATGTTTTTTTTAAGAATGAAAGTGAATCTTTATTTTCTTTTAGTGAATTAAGTGCAGTAACAGAAATCAAATTGGGCGATAGACAATAAATATTGAGTAAATAATTTGAGTGAGACAAGAATTGAGAAATTTTATTGAATAAGTTCAAATGGATTTGTTTTTATTAAATGATTTTATTGATTTGGAGCAGGAAAGAAAATTGTAGATTAAATTTATTAGAGATGAATTCTATGGATTGAGTGAAATAAATAAGTTTATTTCTGTTTTTGTTTTGTGAAATATGAAAAAAGATTTTTTATATAAGTTTTGGTATGAAATAAGAAAAATTTGATTTAATTTTTAAGTGAAATTTGGGTGTGGGTGTGGGTGTGGGTGTAATAAATACAACACCCACACCCACACCCTCATCCTATCAATCGACCACCAACATTCTTCGAACGTATATAGCAACATGGATGAGTGCGCCATGACTTTTCTATTTGTGACATTCTCTATAGAGTAGTATTTCTATTTGAAATAAAATCACAATAATTTCCAACAAAACGATTGAAAAAGAGAAAAAGATGGAGGAAAGAAAAGAGCCTCCCTTAGCAACAAATAAATTAGTACATGGTCTCTTCTTTATGCTTGCTTGGGACCAACAAGCGAATTTGGAATAAGGCTCATTGCTAAAAAGTCAAAACTTCAATGTGTAAATATTTTAAAATAGTGTAAAATAAATTCCTATAAATCGAACAATAATTTAAAATCGCTAGAATTACATGATGTGAATACAATGTGACGGATTCACTGGTCATACACTTATCGTTGTGAATGACCTCTCTTTGTACCATCATTTTCTTCTCTGTGTTCTTCTGTTTCTTCCTCCCTTTCGAATATACATATAAACACTTCTGCTCGTGTATTGTTTATCAGCCATTCTTGACTCGTCCTTTCTCTTCCCTTCTCTTCCATTATCGTTATGTTGTATTCCTTCCATGAACATATCAAAGAATACACTAGAAATATCCGAAAAACCGTTATATACAATAACAAGCACTAATGATCAAATGAATCATACTATCAATATGATATGTAAGTGTTTTTTGTTTATGCGTTCGAAGCTAAACTAAATTATCATTTCTACTGTGACATACATATGTCGACATATGTAAATATAGAAAGAAAGAGCTGTAGAAGAAATAATAACAACGTTGATTACACATGGTTAGAAGAATCCTCTGTTTCAATTCGCACTTTACAAGGATTTATTTCTGAATCATCAACAGTAAATTCTTCGACAATCAATGATGATGATAATGAAGAAAAGGAGGCATAAAAATAAAAAGAAAACGATGATAGAAGGAAATAAGAACTCAAATTTGTTAAGCGCCATCGATAACAACAAAACTAAACAAGTCAGTTTCGATCAGTATATGAAAAGTAGAATTTAATTATAGTTCATTTTTTGTTTTCATGTTTTTTTTGGTATTTTTACTTTGTATTTGAAATATCATCATAATGAACTAACTTAATTAAATTCTTTTAACATATAATGTGCGATGATACTCCCACAGATAAAAGGTAAGGAAGATGTGTTTTGCACATATAAAACATACTAGGTCTAGGTCAAGTAATTGTGCTTCCTTTTCTTCTTCATTCTATTGTATTCTTTCTTTCTTCTTCCTTATCTATACCTGGCATATGCCATTTTTCTTCACTTTCTCTTCTGTTTAAGCTCGCATATCATGCGAGAGAGACACAATGACAGACGTGAGACAGGCTAAATGCATTATTGCTGACAAATGCAGAAGTAGTACATCAAGTTGTTATTATAGATACATCCACAACTAAAATAATATGTTACTGAAAATAATTATGGCTATGACATCCATACGACAAAATGAAAACATATTAGAGCGATGGATAATAAGAATGATAAACATATTATAGATTTGTCTCATAGTTATATATAGTTTGGGTTATTCTATGCTTTTTTTCTCCATTTAATTATTAATATCTATCCATCAATGGCTATCTTGCACACTGCAAGTTTCAAAAAAGAAACACGGTAAATTCATGTATAGAAAATCTTCTAATCGTTTTCAATGTAGGTTGAGAACTTTTAAACGAAATATTTGACAATGTGGGCGAAAGCTCTACTCGTTTTATTGCTGGCATTCAAATGGCAGATTTTGGCTAATAAATATAAGCTGAATGATGATTTTGCTCGTGGATTAAGAGTGTCGTTCAACGATAATTTTACTATAGCAGCATTTAATAGTTTTCAAAGATATATTATTCGTTTTCTGTCGAAAAATTCCGATGCCGAGTGTGAGATTCGCTATCGATATCACAACTTCAATGTCTACAGTCTTTCTGCTCTGATCATGAAACTGAAAAGTAATTCATTTTCATTCTTACAAATCAGTGAGAATACAACATCGCATCATATTAAACTTAGTCTAGTTACTTCTACCATTACCAGCTGTAATACAGAAACTTTACCTACAATGCTTGATGAGACAATTTGGACAGATGGTCATCAGGAATCCATATTATTAAAAATCGATCCACAAGAGAAGTATGCTTATGTCTTTGCCGATTCATTTGTACTTTCTTATGATTTGTCGACAAACAAAGTAGTTCAAACGTTCAACAATACATTCTTCGACGACAATACAGAAAAGTTCATCCCTACCGCAGTCGATCTAACAAATGAATGGGCTGTCGTAACTGGCTACAGTCCATCTCAAGGCTTTGGTGTCGACCTCGGAAAAACATATCCAGTTAGGCTTCGACCTGAAATGTTATCGATATGTCCTATTTCTAATGTTTCTAGTAGATTTGGCTCTTTATTTCGCCTTCTCAAGTCTAAACAGATAATCTACAATCGAGATCATGGCGTGTCAGTTTCGATCGATCCCTCAGGAAGGCTATTAGCTCTCGGAAATGCTGCACTTAACACAATGGCAGTTTTTAAAATGTCTGACATCACGAATTGTTTGCCTGGTAATGTCAGTGCTAGTGAAATAAGTCCAAGATCCAGTACTAGTATGCATGAGATGGGTTTTGGTCGTTCAGTTGCTTGGCTTGATGATCAAGGCACACTCGCCGTACTCGTGTACAAGTCGAAAAATCAAACTTGGTCAGAATCCGAAATACATGTATTTAAAAATGTTTCGACATATTCTAATATTGATGGTGATCAACCTGACTTTATTCTTCCTAATAATCAACAAACGTTTCTACCGTTACCGAAGACATCATTTCTTCTTATTCTTGCACACTCAAAAAACTTGTTAATCTTCCGTGACGACCGCAAATATCTTTATATACCGTCCACCGACGCAGGAAGCCTTCCTACGCACATCGAAAAGTATGTATAGTATCCAAATCTTTTGGATTTTAGATTAGTTTGGCAATTCCAGATCAGAATTGCAAGTGTGGCTTCACATTTCAAGTCACTGCACCTTAAATCTTTGTTGACTTTAGAGCATGTGTGCATCGATTGCAAACTTTCCAAATTTGATTATTCTTGACTTCGGACTATCTTTAAAGCTTATTCTAGCTTAGGGGCCATCAGAAT